AAAAAACACAAACACAAGGGTTACTTACGTTCCCTGATTCACGGCACACAAACGCCACCTATGCAGTATGTGCGTCGCTATCCATCCAAAAGCACGTACTCATCGACGAGGCGTACCGAAGCGACACGAGCGCCGCCGTCCAGCCGTGCGGACGAATTCCGCCGCTTCGCCGGAAAAATCGCCGCCCCGAGAGGATCCGCCACTTCTTTCGCCCCACGTCGCACCACCACAACTGACGACACCGCACGTCGATTCCCTTACGGCGGCAATTCGTAGCTCAATCCTTTTTTTTTTTTTTCCAAGCAAAGAAACGCGATTTTGCCCAAAGGTCCTTTGGCACTAGAATGAAGGGAATCGACTAATAATATTAGTTTGTTGTTGTTGGAAGGAAATGAACCGCGTGCAAAGGCAGTGCAAGCAGCAGGCTTCGCAGAGGTGTCGGATTTGACCGCGAGTTGCGCTGCTGCTGCTGCTGCTTGCTTATGTGAACGGAACGGATGAACGTAACGGCACGGCGCGGCGCTGCGTTTTGGGGCGACGACGTGTATCTTTCTTTGGCCCAGGAATGCGTCGGAAACACCGGTTCGACGCTGACTCGTCGACGGCGCCACAGTCGACTTTGCCCACCAACAAAAAAAAAACCTTTTTCCTTTCGACCACGCACATTGTTTGTGTGTGTACAATTTTCCAGGCAAAATTCAAGATCTCCTCCATCTTGACTACTGCTTCTACCTACCTACCACCATCCGGATGCTCTCCAACTACCCTTGGGCGTGACTCCTTCCTTCCTTCCTTCCTTCTTCTATCCTTGCTTCTGGATCCAAATAAGCACACACACGATGGATGCATCACACTCGTTCATTTCTCTACGTGCATTCTGAAAACCAGCGATAACGCAACTGAAACTCTGAAGCACACCACACGTGCCTCAACAATCTCGCTGCTGCTGCATGCATTGCACAACATCGCAATTCGTAACTGCTTCTCACTCACCAAAAGTTGATCATTTCTCTAGTAATTTCAATAATATTACGAATTAATTTACATATTTTCATGTAATTGTCACCATGACATTATAATTCAGTTAATAAAATGGTCGATATGTAAGTTACCAACAAAATCGCAATAAAAATAAACGCATAGCTGACATATTTATAATGCAACATTCTATATAATTTACCAAAAAATAGAAGAACTTAGTATATAATCAATTAAGTAAGAAATCTTCTAAAAAAGTATACTTATTATAATAAATAATACAAATAATCAATAAATCAATCAATAATCAATAAGTTTTGAACTACTTTCCTTTAAATAACGATTAAATTGAAATCAAAAGTTGATAATTTCTGTAGTAACTTCAATAATATTACAAATTTATTTACATCTTTTCATGTTATTGTCACCATGACATTAGATTTTAACGAATATAACAGTTAATAAAATGGTCATTATGTAAGTTACCAACAAAATCGCAATAAAAAATAAACGCATAGCTGACATATTTATAATGCAACATTCTATATAATTTACCAAAGAATAGAAGATTTTAGTCTATAGTCAATTAATTAAGAAATCTTCTAAAAAAAGTATACTTATTATAATAAATAATACAAATAATCAATGAATTTGCAAAGTTTTGGACTTATTTCCTTAAAATATTAAAAATTAAGTTTTTACTTGCTCATTCAAACCGATTAAATTGAAATCAAAAGTTGATCATTTCTGTAGTAACTTCAATAATATTACGAATTTATTTACATCTTTTCATGTAATTGACACCATGACATTAGATTTTTACTTATAATTTAGTTAATAAAATGGTCGATATGTAAGTTACCAACAAAATCGCAATAAAAAGAGTATAGCTGCAGTATTTATAATGCAAACAATAAAAGTTATTGGTCGATTATGTAAGAAATCTTGTAAGAAGTCTACTTATTAAAATAATTAAAAAAGTTTTTTCTTTTTCACATTGATTTACAAACATTTTTATGCTTTTTCAATTTGTCACTAAATTATTACAATCATTCTTCTCAATATAGTAAAATCCATACAGCAAATGTTGATTTATACATTTGAGAAAGTTAGAAGATAAAAACAATAATTTTATTACAAGAATTTTACTGTAATTATCAAATTGTTGTTATTTATCAAACCATTGCTTAACTTCAAGTAGATTACTACGTTTTATTACGTAGTGACACCTCTCGAGTGAAAAGGATTAAGATGTAGACAATATTTTAGATCTATCAAAACAATTGTTGCTACCAAACTGAAGTAATACAAAAACTATGTTAATTTTACTAATTTCACAAATAAATATCTACCATTTTCTTTGTTACCATACAGATTTAATCTAATTTATCAATTAATTATGTTAATTTCAGGAAAATTCACTCATTACTGAAACTGTTCATAAAGTATAATCTGTTTTGTAATATAAATATGTATCAATCTTTGTTTTTGTAAATATTTTTATATTTTCATGTAGATAAACTTGTTTTGTATGAATTTAAGAGGTAAATAAGAAAAATTAATTATTCATAAAGTCAAATGTAAAATACCCAAG